ATTTGAAATATTCAAAAGGAAGTTTAAATCCCGATGAGTTTGTTGTCATCAGAGACTTTGCATAAAATTATTCGTTTATTATACAAGATGCAATACAAAATTATCATTGGTCCAATAAACAGGCTACAATATACAGGGTCGAAGCCCCATCCGACATTTTTGCAAAGGAAATTGTTGTTCAGAATCGTCTCAGCTACCCCCCATTTCCGGCTCCTCCCCGACTTTTGGGACACCCTGTATACGTTCGTTGCCTATTTTCTGCCAGATAATTGTTTAAAACATGTAAGTTTTGTCATTCTTTCATATTGTTATGAACATGATAGTATTTCTGTTAATTTCATTTCATTTCATTTCATTTCATTTCATTTCATTTCATTTCATTTCATTTCATTTCGTTTTATTTCATGTTGTATCATTGAAATCAGAAAAATCTCACAAATATGTCGGTAAAAATTTAATTAGAGAAAAGTTTAAAATAAGAAAGTTTTATCGAAGAATTATTGTTTGTATGAGTATCTCGCCGATATCTCGGTTAGAATTTTAGGATTTTTCTGCTGTGTAACAGCGTTATATGTAGAATTTACATTACACTAATTATTAAAATTAATCGATATTATATCGTGTTTGGTATCATTTTCGTCAGTGTAACATCAGGAATTCAGTAGTGCAATTTGTTTCTTTAACTTTTATAAAACACAACAAAAACTGAACATATCATGACAAACATTTCACACTTTATTGCTCGGACCTTTTGAGGTCCGTCGTGGGTTAAGTCGGCACACGTGCGCTTTGGATGATTCCACCCTTGGTTTATGGCTTTCAGTAATCACCCGATTTCACTTCATATGCATCGTACTATTACGGGAGTAACGCCGATGGATTCCTTACGTTTTCCTGATGAAAACGCTACTAAACACTATGTAAATCGGACTATTTTTAACGAAGATAGACAAAAAGCGTGCAAATCATTTTTTCCACATAATTTCCTTCTAAATAATCCGAATTGTATCGTGTCTGGTACCATTCTCATCGGGATAACATAAGGAATCGATTGGTAATACATACGTTAAGATCCGATAGGAAATACGGAAAATGATGGTTGACCTTCTTTGGGTCTAGTTTGCTAAACAACAATTTCCTTTGCAAAAATGTTGTTCAGAATCGTGTCAGCTACTCCCCATTTCCGGTTCTTACAGGAGTTCTGGGACACCCAGTATATGCATTTTTATATTATTGTTGCGTTTGTATTTTTATATATTTTATATGTACGAATATGTATGAGTGTGTGGATTGTAATGCAATCGTATGTATGAATGGATACATATATATACGTAAACATTTAAAACCAGCAAGAGTCACGGTTCTTTGACGAAGATCATGAGTGATCATGTTCCTAGGCACAAAGCCACGATTCTCGCTGATTTTAAATGTTTACACTTTATTATGTGAATATACATGCATTTTTATATTATTGTTCCGTTTGTATTTTTATACATTTTATATGAACGTATATGTATGAATGTTGATACTTTATTATGTAAATAAATATGTTTTTTGTATATATATTTTATACAATTGAATTTTAGATTCTTTATTGTTTTTTCAATGTTTTCCGGCGATAATAAATTTAATTTTGTATAAGTTATGTTTTTTTCACTATAATAATTTTTTTATTTAGATTAATTTTAAAGCAAGTATAAATACACATACGTGGGACAATACCGTTGTGTGTGTGTGTCTCACGGATTATATGTATGTAGCAGTAGTAACGACACTGGCGCCATCATCCGCGACGGGTGCGAGTTAGATTGGACTTCAACGCTAAATACGGGAGCTTGTGGGCCCTGGTTTCAACCTGTTCCGAATTCATTTATACATATAAAGTACCGCGTGATCTGTATTCGTACAGTAAAAAAATGGGGTTCCGTGGGCGAAGCTCCCAACAACGAGTACTGCAGCGCACCACTCAGGTGTGTACACGGTTAGCCTGAATGGTGTTTATGCTTTTCAATTTTTGTAAGAGGATTTTGCGCGAAAATTATACGCCTCGAAATTACGGGAACTCACAGACGCGTATGCATATTCCGACCCTAAACAATCGACGACTGAACGCTTACACACACACTGCCACAGACGCGTAGCTATACGCAATATTCATAGTAGTAGTAGCAATGATATTTTGCAAATATCTCGAAAACTAAGCCCGTGCGACGGTTATATGTATAGGAAAAAGTTATTCACAATGTTGATTTATACAACATATTTAAAAATCATCGAAATCGGAGAGAATGTACCTGTTCTCTATAATTACCGAAATTTCGCACAAATAATTAATAATAAGCATTTAAGTGCACATGTATGTATTGTAGGCATATATTTTGTTAAAACTTTTTTTTTAACTTGAACTTAAAATTGTAGCTTAATAAAATATTTATCATAATATTTATACTTACATAGTATAAATACAGAATTTTGCTTTTTTAGTGAAAAGCATCTCCACAAGTAGTATTGGTGCAACAATTTCTACTGTAGTAGCACAATCAAATATGAAGGTTCAAATATTACCTGCACTTCAAGATAACTATATGTATCTTGTGCGTATTTCTTTATTTACTTCTTTTTTTTAGTTTCTGTAATATATAAAGTTTTGATGTCTTTATAGTTATTTGAATTGTATTAGAATTTAATTAAGTTTTAGCTTTAAATTTAATAGTGAATTTAACATTAAAGATCATTGATGAAGCAACACAAGAAGCCGCTATTGTTGATCCTGAGAGCATTGCCACTACTGTCAAACAAAATAAAGTAAATTTGACAAAGGTTTTAACTACCCATCATCATTGGGATCATGCTGAAGGGAATGCAAAATTATGTAAAAAATGTAACAATTTGGAAGTATATGGAGGTAATGATAGAATAAAGGCACTTAACATAAAGTAAAACATGATGATAGCTTTAACATTGGAGGGCTAAAAGTTAAATGCTTTGCAACACCGTGCCATACTAGTGGACACATTTGTTATTATATTACAAGGGATCAAGATACTCCAGCAGTTTTTACTGGTAAAAATATAAAACTACATGTTTGCTTCCTTGCAAGTTTTCTGAAACGTAATCGATATAACTAAATAGGAGACACACGCTTTGCTGGTGGCTGTGGTAGATTCTTTGAAGGTACTGCAGATCAAATGTACAAAGCACTCATACAATTTTTGGGATCATTGCCCAATGAGACTGTAAGCATATAGTTATATTTATACTTGTATTTGCAATATTCGATTACAATATAGGATTTGATTTTATTGCGATATAAGATTTAAAAACAAGTATTTTATGTATTCAACAGAAAATATACTGTGGTCATGAGTATACAGAGAACAATTTGAAATTTGGACGATACGTAGAACCTGAATATGAAGCTATTTGTCAAAAAATAGAATCTGTTCGTTCTCAACGTGAAAAACAGTGCCCTACTGTGCCTAGTACCATTCAAATATGTTATAAACCATGCTAAAGAAAAAGATTCAATCCAGACCATGGAATTCCTCAGAAGGGAGAAAGAAAGTAATTTTACATTTTTCTGTTCAACAACACAAAACATTCTTCCTGTATACAATTTTATACATCATATACAATATTATGTTACCAGTTTTTATTGATCTTATTTATAGTTTATTTTAAATTGCTATACATAAATATTGAAGTATGTGCAAATATCTGATTATAAATTACGTATTTACAAATAACATTTAACTTAAATACAAATACTATGTTATATTTAAAGACATTTGATTTGGTGCGTCTTCTGACTTTTTGTTATAGATTTGCATTTCAGCAACGTATTTCTCTTTAGATCGTTCATACATATCATAATATACCTGAGAAAGAAATGCAAATGATAAATATTCTATAAATTTGAATGCACATATGTAAATAACCGTATTAATACATACTTTCTTGTCTTCGGAACTAAGAGATTTCCAAGTGGTTGCAAGTTGTCTAGTGAGTTCTTGTTTGCTTGGTTCTGGTTCCCCAGCTAACCGTTCCATAACACGAGGTCGTTGTTCTTGACAAAATTGAAAAAATGGATTTGCTGGTCTTTTTGGCGCATTAGGGTCCGTCTTTGCACCTTTCCTTTTTGGTCCTTTTTTCGTTCTTTCATCTTTAGAATTATGAGCGGTGGCCTTTGCAGCTTTTTCTTGTTTAGATGTTGCTTGAAATACATTATTTTCCTCGAGAACTCCCATAGGTGCTTCTCGCCACCGATCACCATGTTGATCCAAACGATCAATTAAAAATCTATGATATCAAAATATTCTGTCAAACCATAATATATATAAGACAAATAGTATACGCTGAAGCACTAAGCAGTTACATTAATTCTTATCTAACAAGTAACAAACAATATTATGTGGTGGTGTTTAACACATAACCTAAAAATTGGACTAACTTTTTTTCCTTCCTTGTACGTTTGAGAAGTTTCCTTACTCTCTGAATTCGGTAAACCAATCTTTCATTTTCCTGTAATTAAACACAATCCGTTGAGATTGACAAACATAACAAAAATTTAAGTAATTTTGTGTAATAAATATAAATTTAAACCTGTTGTAAGACTTCACATCTATCTAGTAGCAGTTGATACTTCTGTTTATAAATGTCGAACTCTTCTGGTTCTACCTCGTATTCTGATTCGTCTGACATTTTAATTTCACGTTTTAGTTAAATCAAATTAATATTTTTGTTTCATTGTTTTCATACAATGTCGATAGTTGCACACGTTTATTTACTATAATAGAATTGTGTATGACAGATGCCGCTAATACAGATATAAATACACCCGGCACCACGGATTCGTACCCTTTTAGAAAGAAATAACGTTGCCCGATTCTGATTGGTCGTCGCCACTTTTCAGCTAAGGAATGAACATTTTAGTCACACTTCACGCTAATCATATTGCGCAACCAAATTTTTAATTTTCATCAGTCAATTTAGATCTCTTCATCTATTTAAAAGTTCCTTCATAAAGAGGACAAATGATACTATGGCCCATATTCACAGTGGGTGCGCAGGAGCCAGAGCCAAACTCCCAGTTGACCAGCGACAGTTGCGAAAAAAGTAGGAACTAGGACAGAGAGGGCGATACAACAATTGTAGGAGAGACGAGGACAGGACGATTAGACTAGCATGATTCTTGTCAAGGATTTTGAAGCAAAGAAGCAATATTTTCTAATAATTCTGGTTTCAAAATATTCCTTATACCTTGGCGCATGCCACTGTAAGGCCCGATTTTGGAAAAAGTGTTTGTAAACAAATTTATTCTATAAGAAAAAAAGAAACCATACTTTTATTATTTATAAAGTTTCAAGAGCGAAATTGCAATATTGGGCGTTAGAGTCGCATGCGGAGTGATGTAGAGAATATTTTAGAAAAAGAATCGTGAGAAAATATTGCTTCTTTGCTTCCAAAAACTTGATGAGCTTCACATTTACAGAGTAAAAAACAGAGTAAAATTGGAATTTTTGTTCCTTTACTCAATTGTTCCTAAGTACGGTATTTACCCATAGATTTTATTCGACAAAAGCCTACTTTCTTCGTAAAAGTGCAATCTATGCGTAAAGAATAAGAAACTGGAAATAATTTGACAGTTACTAATTTTGCATGGCGATGGAAAAAATTGTTGTGTTCTAATTTAGCTGAAGAAATTGAAGGTTTCTCATATGTGTTGGCCCGTCACACTTGAACTATTGAACCGATTGGAAAACAATGTCAAACGCACTTGTTGGAAATTCGATTACTTTTGATATGGCAACTGGCGCGACCCAATCGGACGTTTCTAATACAATATATGGCCTAAAATGTGAAGGTATCTCAAAAATAATCGAAAAAAAATTCAAAAATTTGCTTAAAAAAACCTATCCATAGAAAAGTTTTGAACGGTGTTTTGCCGCTGCACAGCCATTGCTCGCTATGTTTCGGTCAGTCAAGGCCGTCGCTACGGGATTCGCCTAATCCAGATAAGTAATACTTCATTTATACTGGAACTCAATAAAACGGAGACAATTTTCCACTGTGTAAATTTTAATCATTAATTTCCTGTTTTTGTATCTTCAATTATTCGACTTTTGTTAATTTGGTATTGAGCAAACTTTATTTAAATCTAACTTGAATTATTTGATAATTAATTCAATCTATAATCGCATATTTTGTTGTTAATTTAAAATGAAAACTGCTACCTGACAAATTTCTCTTTAGAGGAGAGTTTAGCCCCCAAACACTAACATAAATAAAAAAAGATTAAAGCGTGTGGCGACGATTGTGCAGAACGCATGACGACGGCCCTGATTCACCGATATAAAACGAGCGAAACCTGTGCGCCGGCAAACAGAATTCGTGCGTTCTAAATTAATATTTTCTGGATCTATACGAACTAGAAAACGTTACAACATTCGCGGCGGGTGGTTTTCTCTTCACAAATGTTTGCAGAAACCTATAATGTATAGTAAATTCGACCTAGGTGAATAACTTTTCATTAAAATACAAAAGTATTTCGTGAAAAGTACTCGCGTCGGCAACTTTTTGAACTTTGGCGTTCATTTACAGGCATTCAAAAGAGCAGATAATTCTGAAGGAATATGTCTTCAGATTTGTATTTAGGACGAGGAATCCTATTAGAATCACCTAGTGGATATCGCGGAATTTAAAAAAAGTTTAAATTTGTTGGACAGTGTAATCTGTATACTAAAGGAGCCGCGGGTCACAAAGTTGGTGAACTTCTGGACTAGGGTGTATATGGGAAACACAAATTAAGGTAATATACACTTGATAATTTTAGTTTATTTTTTTTTAAATTTTGTGTAATATAGACATTTTTGATTATTCGTGACCCTCGTTGATTCGCAAGTGGTCTTACTACTATTTTCTCCGCCGCGGCCCTTCTGCGGCGTCTGTTATCGCGCTGCCGCCGCCGCCGGTTACTCTGAAGTTAGTATAACGAAATATATCGGCGGGGGCTGCGGCATACCGAACGTGAAATATGGCGGAGCCATTAGAAATGTCACTCCATACTGTTGTCCATATCTGGTATACTGGTTATCCCAGAAGGACAACCTATCAATGCCGTACGTAACTGTTGGAAAAAGAAATAAAGATTAATATAAAGTTTTTACAATATTTTTCAATTACTATATGTTATAAATATTAAAATAAAAATAATAACGTCTTCTCGAATTAACAGTTCTGGGGTAAGTGCCGTGCGGTTCAACACGGTCCTCTTTTCAGAAGGACAAGCCTTCCCCACTCCGTGGCCAGATCTTTCTAAAACATTTATTCTAACGTTTAATATAATATGGCATATCACCAATCATAGCAATGCAACGTCAGGTTGCTTGCCCCATTCATACGTTACCGATGGTAACGCATCGCTCATTGGATATTTGTTTTGGAGCCACCGACAATTTACCACCACTCGGCCCGCTCAGCTGTCTCCACCTTTCGAGAACCGGTCATTGACGGAAACAACGGCAGATCAGCTGTCTCCGAAAAATCAATATATCGACCGATCGCTAACATATAAATAAGTAATCATACCTTCCTCCAGGCTGCTCATTCTGTAATAAAACAAAAAAGAATATTAGATTGTATACTATATAGATATTCAAACAAAGTTTCAATTATTTAATAACATACGCACGCGAAGTGTGCACCGAATTCTTTAATCAGAATTTTTTCCTACGTAAAGAAGGGTATGTAGAACAATTTCTGAAAGTAGGAACGCGCAACTCTCTCTTGTTTTCGAGAAATAAATATTAAAAAATATCTAAATTTCGATTGATGAGTGTCGACCGTATCCGTGTTGGGGATGTCATAGAAACATCGTGGCGCAGTCGGTGGAGTGTCAGGTTGCGAAGTGAATATTTTGCCCTGGACGCGGTTCGCTCCCGGTAGGAGACA